AGCCAGACTGGTGTACTGATAGTGGGAGACCCTGATGTTGGTGAGGTCCTTTACAAGGAAAATCTTCACCGGATAAAGAGACTGCCTTTTGCAGGTGAGGAAGCAAAGATGGTTGGAGAACTTATCGGTACTCAACCTTTGCTGGGGAAACAAGCAACAAAGCAGATGGTTCTGCAAAGAATAAACTCAGTGTCTTTGATACACTTTGCTTGTCACGGTGACGCTGAGAGGGGCGAAATTATCCTTGCCTCTCCACCCCTCACTGATAGGAAACCTAACGAAAAAGACTACTTACTTACGATGGGTGAAATTTCCAAAGTTCGACTGCGAGCCAAACTGGTGGTCCTTAGTTGTTGCCACAGTGCACAAGGACAGATAAGTTCAGAGGGAGTGGTTGGAATTGCTCGAGCCTTTTTAGGATCCGGCGCACGGTCAGTGTTGGTGGCATTGTGGGCCATACAAGACGAAGCAACAAAGCAGTTCATGAGTTGTTTCTACAAGCACCTTGTTCGCGGGGAAAGTGCTAGTGAATCTCTTCACCAGGCCATGAAGTGGATGAGAGAAAACAAATTCTCTGATGTGGAGCAGTGGGCGCCATTTATGCTGGTTGGAGATAATGTGACACTGGATTTTCAAAAGTTAAGGTTAGTTGCTGAAATGTATGGTGACATCACTGGGTTTAAGTTAATGATGGACAATGCATTCCCGGCTTATCGAGGTATCAACTTAATATGGGTAAAGAGGTTAGTTTCTACAGAAACTTTGGCGCTGCATTGGCCGGGTTCGGGAGGAAGGTGGTGAAACACAAAAATGTGGTTTTATCAAACGTGCCCTTCCTTCGTAGCTTTTAGCTCCAACGAAATTAAAAGTCAGGCGTAAGATGCGGTTCGAATGATACATGTTTATTGTAGAGGGGGAGCTTGAATCTTTTGGTCAAAACAAACACACGAAGTCAATGACGACTGTATTACACTTGCAATTTACAACAATGATTTCCGAAGCTTTTCCGTATTGTAAGAGAAAAGGACCCAGAGAAAATTGACCGGAAGTTAATCATTCTTCTCCGTACCTCATTTTCACGTGATTTGTCAACCTCGTCCCCAGGGCTTTTCCCTGGGGACGAGGTTGGTGATTTGTTGAAATCGAGCGCTGCGAGCTGAGAAAACAATTAAGGATAATACATAAAAAGAAGTGTCCATCATTATATTTTGGAATTTAGGATGCTAAGACTGAAATCCCTTGTGCACAGAAATGTTATTAAATTGTCAAGAAAAGAGGAATATGTTGTTAAAATAAGGGAGGGCGTGTTCGAATTAGAAAGATCATCATCATCATCATTATCATCATCATCATCATTATTATTTTTACCATTATCATTATTACTGTTTTTGTTTTCTTTCTTTCAGAGCTGCAAGTCATGAATCGCAACTCAATTTCAGGTAGCCAAGTACAAGAAATGATAGAGCTGGATGGGAACTTCTTAAGCCATCAGTCGATACCACGAACACTTGAGCATGATGATAAGCGAAACAAGCGAACACCCAAATTGGCAATATAACATAATGTATATAACACATAAAGGTAAATTAAATAATGTATATATCACATTGGATACTTTTTACCCTAAAAACCAAAAGAATTAGGGTCGAGTGAACAGTAGTAGTTGACCAACATTTTGATCATTGTTATTGCAATCATCTTAGTTAAGGAACTGTATATAGTTAAAAGTTTACTGATCTCGGTTCGCATGAATGTTTTATAGTCTAAACGGGACTCCCGAACGATAGTTACAATGTACTAAAAGCTCCTGAAGTGTAAAACCAATTTGTGCAAAGTCCGTACATTCTTGACTTGAAATATGTTTCTTGTTGCTTATCAAGCATTTACTGCGCTAGTCATATTTAACATTTTTTTACAGGGAAAAGTTAAGTGTTGCATCTTCACGAGTATCTCTTTTCGTTAATATTTTTACATGCAATTCAGTTGTAGGACAAAGCACGGGGAAAAGGATTACAAGGGTAGGCGGAGCATAGCCTCTTCCCTTTAGGCCGAGAGTTCCCCTTTAATTGATTCTAAATAATTTTCAATTAATGCCAGTCAAATGGTCTGCAAAAGATAGTTTAAGCAATAGTAACTGGAAGAGATTGTTAGACAGTGTGCGATGGCTTTGCTCACACTCTGTTGTACGAAGTATTGTTGTGATAAATCGTATTGATCAGATATTTAAGGGGCAGTGTCACCAAGATTCTGTGCTAGTCGAAAATCTTGCGCGAGTTTTTATCTCAGTGGAAATCGCTAAATAGACTGCTTATACGAGAAAGGTAAACTGAATGTTTGGGAAAAGAGCTTCTTTGGCTATCACCGGGAGTGTCGTCCATATACACAACATGTATCGTGAAAGTGGAGATTCAAGCGGTGCAACTCGTAAGAGTGGGAAAAGTTGTGAGAAAAAGCCCGTTTATTCTTAAACAAGATTTTCGGTTGATACAAAGGTAGAAATTTATTATCCCTTTACAGCAAAGGTGAGGGCAAAAACCACCCATTAAAATTTCACTCGATAGAAACTAGGGAGGGACTGGAAGAGGAAAAAACCCTTGCTCACAGCCGGTGTGAAGACAAAGAGGCTTGTTACCCAGCTTGCTTCAACTTGTATATCACTCTGATCACTCTGGTCCTTGATGCTAACCATTATTCACTTGATCTAACATTAAACTCCCCCAAGCCTGACTAAGCAGGATGCATAAAATCATTGACTCCCCAAGAGAGTAAATTTCCTTTATGCCTCATGGTCGTTCTCCCACTCATTCTATAATATTTGGTTCAAGTACATTGCTATGGCTGAGCTCTGTTTGCTGTAATGAATGCAATTCACGACACAAAAATATGCTATATTTTGGCCACTTGAGTGGCCGTTTATTTTTAAACGAGATTTCCCGGTTAATACAAGTAATACAAGGAAGAAACAAATTACCCCTTTACAGCAACGGTGAAGGAAAAAGCCGTCAAAGCTCTGAGGGAGTCTGAGAGAGTCTGAAAGACAGCAGCCCCACGTACACTCGAAGCCACTGCAATGTACAGGACCCCAACATGTAACATGAAAAAGTATGATAAGCTGGTACTAACATGTAGCCCTTGTTCACATAGAACTAAGACATCTCTAACACTGTATACAATAGAACACCCCCTGGCACTTAAAGACATGTGTTTGAGCGATGGAAACAAATTACCTCGAGTTTTTTCAAGTACAGTAAAATTTCAGTAAGGCGTTTTCAAATTTGACAGTGTTATTTGGAAGAAAATGTTCAAACACAGTTGACTGTGGTTTAGGCTTCTGTCACATGGTACCGGTCGAATTTTCGACCTGTTGAAAAATTTGACCTGACACTTAGTTCACAAGGAACCGTTCGATATTTTCGTGCTGTTGAATTTTAGATTGTGTCAGAGATTTTAACATCTGCCAATGCGTGGAGCGCTACATTAGCAAGTCTAAAATGGCGTTTCTCAGCTGAGTAACCACGCATCCATGTAACCACGCCTTTGCCGTTCAAAAATTTAGCCGGTCACACCTCGCCTTTCAAATTTTCGACCGTACAGGTAAAAAATTGACCTCCATTTTAGTGTTCAAATTTCTGAACGGTTAGATGTTCAAATTTTCATACGGTTAACGTGGCTCTGTGTGTGAACGTGGCCTTCATCACACCTTTGAACTTTGCGTTGCTGTTCACTGGCCTTTTTGTGCACCAGCGAGTGTATTTTTATAATATCCTTTGCACTAAAACGTAGGAGAATTGTCAGGATATTGCCCTTTAATTTTCCATGGAGCTTGCTAAAGGTACGAACGTATTTTTGTATAATAGCCATACTACAGTTTTTAGACAATGTGAAGTTGATAATTTTCAACATAAAAATTAATTATTTTTAACAATAAAAAAAAGCAAGGAACGTTTGTCACGATAATGTATCGATATGTTTTAAAAAATAAATTTTTCCAGTTGCTTTTAACAAATATTCTCTCATTTTAGATTCTTTACATTTTTATCCTTATTATTTGGTCGGGTTCCTCTCTGCTACCAGCCATTAAAATTTGATACCTTCATGTTGCACTGTCATTCCCTCTCCTTAGTCCCTCGCCCCGCCCATCTCAAGGGAATTTGTAAAGTTTTCTTTGATCTCATGCATACAGCATTTCCCCTAGCAACTGCGTCGCGGAAAAGGACCAATATATAAATGGTGGTCATTCGTTCGTTTGACGAGATTTTGAGCAAAATTATTCGTTTCCACGGACGTTTCCAATCCATGGAGACATAGACCGTGCCAAGACAGCGAAACTTTCCTTTTATGTGGGGTTTGTAGCTTAGGCAAATGTTGAGAACGGTCTTTGGCGTGCTCCTTCGAAATTGTGGTTTTTCTTTCTCCGTTTTTGTGAGTAGAAAAAGTGTTATTTTTTTACGAATTTTCATATATTTTCCTCAGTCTACTGTTTGCTTGGCTTGTTCGAAAAAGGTCAAAGCTTTGCAAAATTTAAACCATTTTCAAGAACGACCCTAAGTTACTCTGAATTTGCGAATACTCCCCTCTGGGACCGTTGAGGTCAGCAGTGGTTTCGCTATCCTTAAAAGTATATAATAAGATTACGCCCACCTACCTCTCCCCTGACTCAAAAATTGCCCTTACCGAGAAGTAAGTGTTAAAGTTGGATTAGGGGAGGGGTAGGTGAATAGATTGCCAGAATCATTTACTGATCCGTTATCACAAAGTCGATGATATTACGACAGAATTTTCGTAATTTTGCCTTTGAGAGGAGAAGTGTACGAAATGGTTTACGATCCTAAAGATTTCGTCCTCATCCAGGAGCACAATTTGGTACAAAAAGGGAAAACAGAGCGTAAATGCATGTACTGTGCTGCATTTTTCAACTTTCATTGAGTAACCACGCTATGGATATGTTCAAATAAAAGCGGACTTGGAGATGAAACTTTATTTCCTTTGAAGGGATCAAAGGCTTTTCCTATGCCTTCTTGATTGGTGCGTCGTCATGCCCGCGGGTAGCTATTTTCAGGGCACTCAATGCACTGATCGTCAGCGTATCCCGGGGTTAGAGAACCTTTGGTTCTTTTGTCTTAAGTCCTCTACAGAAAACATGAAAGAACAAGTATCTCGAAAGAAAGACGGTCTTGTAAGGCGAAGAACTCCACAACAACTTCTGTAGGACTCTTCCTAAAGGCAGAGAGTCATTTCTCTATTAAAGGGACACCTCTGGATTACTGTCTGTACTTGCGACCTTCGTGTAGTTAACGCTACATACCCAAAAGAAACCAAAAACTAAATTCTGGTGTACAAGGAGAACAAAGCAAATATTTTAAGAGTTTATATCCGTTGACTCATTGACGCATAGTAAAGGGCGAATTAGTTGAAAAAATTCGAACAAGAAACAACTTTTTTTAAAGAAATACCTTGAAATGAAAATATGAAATGAATAAGTCAAATAGTAAATTCAACCGGCTTAAATGCGCATATTCTTGGCGCAAAAACTCGCCGCAGAGTAAGAGAATTTCAAAACGTTAACGATGCCTGCACACTTAAAAACGTAATAGTAATGGATATAAAAAGTCATCTGCGACTCTGTTAAAATTGACTCCACTTAACATTAACTAAACTGCAACGAGGAGTTCCTTCTTCGCCTTAAAACGTGACCGCTGGACACCTTCTTAGCTGACAGATGGCGAACTCGCGTGGAATCATCTTGCGATTTAATCGGAGAAGGAATGGGCACCAGGTGGGCGGTAAAATGACGTAACATGGGCGGTTCCCATGTGATTTGGTAACCACAGACTTTTGCGCGGTTCTTGTACACATGAGCACAGACTTCAGAAACATACCTGTAAGAAGCATAAAGGTAGTGTCAAGGCCATTTGACAAACATCCTGACAAAATTTGTAAACGGCTGTTGGTAGCTTAAGTGATTAGGGGACTTAGGCGACCATGGCTGGAAGGGAACGAAAATATTAAATTGGCCATTACTCTAGGAAGTAGATACTTTTAAACTACAAGTTCTCGTACTTGCACTTGCAGTCGAAATTAGATGGTTAGGCGCCTATGGAAATAGAGGACGAGAAAAAGATTATCACACGACACACATGTTACGACACTCATAAGAGGGTCTGAATGGGGTTAACCGATTGGCTACAAACGGCGAAAGATATAACTAACTACCAACAAAACGAGAAAAAAATTAACTGACTACCAACAAAACTAGAAAAAAAATACCGACTATCGACAGAAAAGAAATTAACCGACAACCGACGTGGTATTTTATATTTGTTTTTTATTTCCCTGTTTTGTCAAAGGTATTTTGCTTGATTTGTTTCCGGCACAGGAAGGGTCTTTTAGTTAGCTTTATTTCAGATTGGAGGTAAATCCGTTTAAATTCCAGTTTCGTTACTTATAGAATTGCCTGTCATTAAATTACTTTGTAAAATTGTCATAAAATCCAAGTCGTGTAGGTTCGATTTCCGCCTCTCTCTCGGCATGCATAGGGGAATGCCTAATTCGTGCCTACACTTCCTTCAAAGGTCATTCCAGACCCTTCAAATGGTGTGTCTTTGTTCCTTTTTCTTTTCCGGGGAAATCAAGGGAAGTGCGCACTCATTCCCCGCACAGCGGGTGGCAATCGAGCCTAGGAGACGTACTAATGCAGTACTTGCACTACGTGCTATTTATCCATGCTCGAGGCATGAGCAAATATCATAAAAGTGATCGTAAGTTTCTTTCGAAACGGTTAGAAGGTCGCAATCGAGCGCCATCGAGGTACGAGAATTTTGATCTTAAACCATTATAAGAGCTACCTAAACCAAAAAATTGAGGGCCACATTAAGAACAGCTTACCTCATATGTGATTCAGTGTATGTACGGCGGGGAATAGCCAGCCTAAATAGCTCCTCATGTTCAGGTTCGTCTTCAAAGACATCATCATTATCATCATTGTCATCTTCGGGACTTTCCGCTTCCACCGATGAATCCACGCCGTCGTCGTGCTTTTCGAGACCCCCCAACATCACCGCACCAACTTCCGCCCCGCGGATCCCTCCTTCCACGTAAAGCGCGCAGCCGAGAGCCCACGCAGGAAATTGCTCGCGGGGAATGTGCGGTAGCATTGCGCCTGCGTCAATGTACACCGCGTGACCTCCGGGTGGGGTAACAATGGGCACGTGATTCTGGACAAGTAAATCGGCCAGGAACTTGACGAAACCAACTTGGTAGCGCAGGTAATCTTCTTCAACCACTTCATTCAAACCTACTGCAATCGCTTCCAAATCGCGTCCTGCCAAGCCCCCATAAGTGGTGAATCCCTCGGTTATTAACAGCTCCTTGCGGCACTTAGCAGCGAGCTCTGAGTCATTGACTGCCAAGAATCCACCGATGTTGGCCAGGCCATCCTTCTTCGCCGACATAGTGCAGCCATCGCCGTAAGAGAAAATCTCTCGCGCGATTTCTTTCGGTGTGCGGTTTGCATAACCTTCCTCTTTGACCTTTATGAACCAAGCATTTTCAGCGAAGCGGCAGGCATCAAAAAACAACGGAATACCGTGTGCGCGACAAATTTTAGACACCGCCTTGATATTCTCCATGCTGACCGGCTCACCGCCCACCATATTATTTGTTATGGTTATCATGACAAGTGGAATTTTAGCTCGAAATTTTGAGATCGTCTGCTCTAACTTTTCAACGTTCATATTTCCTTTAAATGGCACATCTGTACTGGGCTCCATAGCTTCAGGGGTTAAAAAATTAATTGCTTTTCCACCTTGAGCTTCTATGTTCGCCATCGTAGTTGCAAAATGCGCGTTGTTTGGAACTACGTCGCCTTCTTTCACTGCGCAAGTGAAAAGGATGCGCTCTGCCGCGCGCCCTTGGTGCGTAGGGATCACGTGACGGTATCCAAAGATCTCCTTGACAACTGCTTCAAATTTCCGGTAACTCGGAGAGCCGGCATACGACTCATCTCCAATCATAACTGCAGCCCACTGTTCAGAACTCATCGCCCCAGTCCCCGAGTCTGTTAGCAGATCGATCAAAATGTTTTCTGAGTCCAAGAGATACAAGTTGTAATTGGCTTGTTTCAAATGCTTGATTCGTTCATCTCGTGTTGTTTGTTTGAGTTTCTCCACGGATTTGATTCTGAACGGCTCAAAAAACGTTGTGAATTTGTGTTCTTCCATGTTGCTATGACGGCTTCGTTTCAAACTGAAGAGAGAAGAAAGATGCTTTAACATCGGTGAGGTCTCAAGTTCAGTGCTGTTAGTCCGCTATAGATTACAACAACAAAGATTTCCACTAATTACGGGGCGTCCGTTCTTAACTAGAAATACGTGTCTCGCATACCCTTGCAAAACTCGGTTTTAAATAGCGCCACTCAAGTTAAGCCATGTTGGGCGGGGTTTGGAACTGGACCAGGGTGAGGGGTCTTTAAGACAGGATATGCGCTGCGGGTACTTCTTTCTTTCTTTTCTTCTTCTTCTTTTTATGTTTTTTTCCAGTTTTATTCTTAAATGCATACGGTAAAGCATATTAAGCATTATTTTGGCCGCCGGATTTAAAAAAAAAAATATATATATATATATATATATAGAAATCAAACAAACAAGGTGGGTTCATTGGGTAGGAAGCTGAAAACGGTCTTTGATCCATCGGCAGTGAAAGTGCTAAGTTAATTCTTGGTTTGCCTCATTATCACAAGAATTTCAAGCTCCATTTCCGAGTGGAAGCAAGGTTTTCCTGGTTTTGACAGTAAAAGGCCAAACTGAAATGCACTTCCGAGTTCCGACACGCATAGCCGTCGGTCCAAATTGCTTCAATTTTCTCTGTAAAAAACTTCTGCCGGCGAAATTCATCGCAAAAGCATTTTACGATCGCCAAAAAGGCTGCAAAAACAGCGGCCCAAGCTATATTGATGACGTCATTGCGGATACCAAGAGATACATAGAAATATTTAACAATTAGTTCATGCGTCAGCGTGCGTATGTCGAGATATTGAGCACGCGGAAAGTTTGGAGAGCAAGAAAGAGGCGTAAGAGTTGCACGAGGCGCAGCCGAGCGCAACTCTAGCCTTTTGAGTGCTCTCCAAACTTCCCAAGTGCTCAATACCTCGACGTACGCACAGCTGCAGCATGAACTAATTAATTTATAACATTATCAAAGCGATCAATGCAGCAGTTAATTTAAAATTTTATTATTGTAGGACGCGCTCAAAGCAGTACGCGTCAATGTTTACGTGACTTTAAGCTTATGTTTTTATCCTGAAACTGAGAGAAAGTCTACTCTAAAATGATTGTAAAATCCATATTTAGGTGCCGGAAAACTATTAATTTACCGAAAAATTATTATTGAGAGAAAACAAGTTTGCAAAGAATGAGCTCACGCCATAGTCCGCACAGCTCGCGGAGATGACAACAACAACAACAACAACACTCACTTCTTTTCCTTATAGTCCATCACCTAGGACCCGAAAATTTGGGTCTAATACTCATCTCAGGAGAATAAGCGAAACCTGTCCAACATGAAAGTTTATCTTTATTCGAAAGTTTTTTACAGAACGGCCTGTAAGTCTCACCATCGAAAGGACATCTTTAAGCTGAAACTTCTCTGCAGTGACCTTCGATGGCTTACTGCGGTAAAATGGTTTAGGCCGAGAGCTATCCTTCCCCGACTCTTAATAACATGAACCAAAACACATGCAAAGTTGTTTGAAAGTTGTTTTATCCTTAGTAAATCCTAAATGTGTGTCTTATACTATCTTCTGATACATTCGATATTTTTTCTTTGATTTTTATCGAAAAGATTTCAGGTATCAATCCCGTCTCAACTTCGGCTGTCAGTCTAAGCGTCATTGTCAAATTCAAATTCCGCGTTTAGTCGAAACTTTTTAGTGATGAAATGTGAATCCGAAAATAGAGCTCATATAATGATGAAGAATTTGACTACAAACACGTATGTTTTTGCATTGCTCTAAATTTCTAGTGTGGGTGCTTATTTGTAATGAGTTTAGTAAAGCAATAACAACAAGCCGTCGTGTATTTATTTGATTTCGCTAAACGTATACGTACAGCATTCAACAAAACTGAAGTCACGCAACGATCACATTGACTGTGTAAGAATTGCCGTTATGAAGCAGGTTTTCAAAGTTTTTAAATTCTTCTTTCAAAATTAACTAGAAAAGATGTCACTGCAGAGCATCATAAGACAAGCTGCAAAAATAGAAATATTGCAGAATGCGTTAAACTCACGCGACTACTTATAGACCTTATACTGTAGAATATAAGTTGAGTGTTAAACGAAAATATATCCAGATATGCTATGGATCCGAGTAAAGAAAATAAACGCCCGCCATTAAAGTAAATCATTAATTGTAGATATATTTTTTAATGCGGCAACAGTAATCGTGAACGCTTTACATCATTTGCCAAAGATTATATCCTAATACAAAGTACAACTTAAAAAACCTGATTGCACGATACTAACTACGGTAATGTAAACATCTAATTTGATGTTAATGCACGGAAATTAGGTAGATATATTTAATAAATAATGTTGGTACAATACATTTTCGCAGATACGACGAGTCATGATAAAGAAACTAATGCAGATATTGCTCTTGCCAATACTTGCTTGGTAACCAAACTTGTACTTACAGCTAAATAGGGTGCGTTCTTTTGAGATGATTCGAATCAGGATTAGTGATCCCAGATCACTCGGATCATGTTAGACCATTCGAACTGATTAATCCACTCTCGACAAGGATTTATCGGTCCACTTGATCTACCATGGTCCGAGTGATCTGGGATCACCGATCCTGATCTGGATCATCCCATAGAAAGTGCAGTCTATTTTGTTGTGCATATGCATGAGTTATCTTTGTGATCAGTCTTATTCTTCCATAAGAACTGAGCTAGGAAATTTGTGTGATCTGTAGCGAGAATGTTGTGTGATCTGTAGCGAGAGCGATGGGCGTCTGATGCAATGTAAAGACGCAGAGTCGTGGGCGAGGTTCTATCGTGTTGGGCTGATCAAGCAACACCGTCAAATTCTAGATCTATCAACAGGAGAACAGGATTTCCCTCAGTCACCTGTGTGGTACCAAGCTAGAACACAGAAGAAGTTGCGTAGCGTCGAAGCATTTAGAGCAGATGAAGGGCAACAAAAAGCGCTTCGTTGCACCTGAAAGTGAACACTAACATGATTTCTATTGCTGCTGAGATTTCTCGCATCTGTGCTAAGGATTTGATAGGCAGTGAAGCAAGATATCGTTCTTTCAATAACGCATTTTGCGCATAGTAGTGATGCAACCACCGAGAGCTTAGCCTGCGTAGCATGGCGGTTTTGTCGAGCCGGGCGCAGGAGCGGCGTAGCCGCGAAATTCGCGCGCGAAGCGCGCGAGAACGAGCGGCGAAGCCGCGAGAAAAATAAAAACCGCCTGCCCGGATTCGTGGCCTTTTCAACTGCCGCCCCCTTCAACTCATTTTGACATCCTGTTGACTACTTGTTTGGTTTCAGTTTTCCCAGCCAATCAGAAATAAAGTGTTGACAGCCTAAACACGACACAAAGGCTCGTGATATAGTGTAAAACGTGACCTTGGCCGGAATTGGAGTTTGCTTGAACAAACACAGGTTTTTTCTTTGTGGATATCTCGCGCATAGGTGACTACACTGCGTTCTAAACTTGACTGAGTAGATCTTAATTTTGCTGCGCTAAGTCTTACATTTATTTAGAGGTCATGAAGTTGGTATGTTTAATCCGTATTGAGTAATTATTTCCTGTGGTTAATGTTATTTTCGCTAATTAGAATTTGTTGATCTCAGATGCAGTTGTAAAGTACTAATTTCTTTGACCACTCTTAAAGCCTAAAGCTTTTTATTACGGTTAAATAAATATTTTAGTTTCTTTGGTCTTTTCCGACTAAAATGCCTGGATCTGGACAACTACAAACCAAGGAGCCTTGGTTTGTAGTTTCTTTGTCACTGCTTTGTCCGTGAACGTTTTGACGCTGGACCCGGCTTTTTAAGTGTTGTTTGCAGGATGTATTTTTACGTATAGCGCGATCTTCAGATTTGAGTTGTAGCTTAAACTTAAGCTACACCAAGCAAAAAAGTATGGAGAATTACGCTGTGCGTCTTTCTTCTACTGTATGCCATTCATCGACCACAATCGCGGACACCGTTCGATGTATTGCGCTGGAGTGCGTTATTCTGTAACACCGAGTAATAGAGAAAATTGAGGTGAACTTTCTCGAAGCACTGAAATTTACTGTTTCTGTCATAAGGTCCATTGCTTTACAGCTCAGCGACAACATTTCAGATATCTGGTCGTCGATAGTACTTTTTAGAGGGGAAATTGTGATCATACAGGTTTTCGATGAGGATATTTCTTCTTTGGCCATAGCAAAGACAGTAAAGATCATGCTCTTGCCAAATCTTGTTGACAAAATTTTCATGACATCTCTCCTTTGAAGAAGACTGTAAATGGCCATTTCCTGTTTAGGCTTCAATACAATTGCCCTGTTTTCCCGTCAAATATTCAAGATCGACGACGCTCCGGTCAACGCTTCTTTGATATTTTGATTTTGTTTTGCGGAGATGATTTGTTCAGTCCCTCGAAACTCTCCCATGGGAGATAACCAAAATATTTGATTGACAGGCGAACATTCCGAACCAATCGGAACGATCCGTACGCTGGCGTACGGACCGACTCAAAAAAGCCCCCCGTCCGTGCAGGCGGTTTTTCAAGTTGCTTCCGCCCCGATCTCCTCGCGGTTTCTCTGCCCTCGCCCGCCTTTATTACTTAGCGCGCCCAACCAAAACCGCCATGCTACGCAGGCTACCGAGAGCTGGACCGAAACTTCCGGAAACAATTAAGGGACAGAGAAGGTTTACTGACGCTGTGTATTCTTTCAGTGACACCTTAATATCAAACGGCTCAGGGTATTAGAATTTATAATTAAACAAATAAGGAACTGTAAATGTACTGGCAGAGACGAGGCAGAGGCGGAGAATGGGCACGGATTTAAGAAAATTCCAATACAAAAACTTGCTGAGAAAGGCCTGGTCCTAGGGTTACCCTAGCAAGAGGCCGGGTTCAAGGTACCCTGGTTAAAAGCAAAATTTCCAAGGAAGTAGACGCAAGTCAAACCAGTTAACCGGCTTAACTGATGTGTTTCGTCATGTGAAGACTAAACTAACATGCCTTGTAACGTCCAAGATTTGGACGAAATCTTGAATTCTCCATTTTAAACACGTTATACGGAAAAAAGGTCAGGTATTATCATCGCATAAAGAAAATACATAATATTGTTCAGATGTTTAAAATCTAGCAAGAAAACTTGGTTAACTCATTCAAATTTTCATTAGTTACTGGTCATGAGTTATCCCTTAGCAGAGCGTTTACAAGGCAGGTACATTTAGGGTAACCCTCTTGCTAGGGCAACCCTATCTGGATGCCATGTAAACACGTCGCGTAAAAATAATAAGTAGAAATGTGCGAGCACTAGTTTAACCCTCTTGCTGTTTGGGTTACCCTCCCTCCTTGTAAACAGGCCCTAACAGAATTGGTATTTTTTAATTATCAGCGAAATAATATCGTTGTATATCCATCCACCTTGTAGATAACTTTGAGTTTAAACGTCAAAAAAAAAAAACGCGGCCAACCAAATGTTTTTGAACTGATGAGACAAATCTGTTTTAAATCTAGCGAAACTTCTTACTAAGAAAATAAAAAACTCGTTCCATTGAGCTGCCATGGCCATCCGAGGAGAAGAATCTCTGCTACAAGTGGCTGACTCCCGAAATTACTAGGTACCTTTGAAGGCCTTTTGCAACATTCCTATGCGGAAAGGGACAAGAGCAGGTCTGACCCAGAAATAAACTTTTGCCCGCAGTTTCCAGAGGTTAGACTGATAAAAAAGTGCGGCCATGGGATCAGTTATAACCTGTTTAAGGAGGTCGAGACAGAATTTGGGCTGAAAGTAAGCAATGAGCAAACTTTAAATCGCGTGCTTATCCCAAACGAATGTAATCAACCCAACAATCCACCCGTGGCACTCATGGTAGTAGAATGCACATTCAGCGGGGCCGGGTGAATTTGATCCTTTTCCCGAAGCAAGACGCGAAGAGGGATGACGGAAGAGAACCTTGGAAACAGCGGAGAATCACCTGAACACCCCCCGGCTTAAACGGAGGCGTTAGCTTTTTTATTCAACCAAGCGCGGGTAAACAGGGGAGTAACTATGACTCCCTAGTACGATCAACCAGCCTACGAGAGTGGGCCCAATCATGCTACGAGCCTAGGAGTATTTCCTTTGAGGTCCTGGCGTTGAATTGGAGAGGGCCGGCTTCTGGCAACTAGATCAGCTGCGGCTATACGGGCACTAGGACTGAGCGCCTCGTTCTTAAGTCTTATATGATCTGTGACTCTTGAGTGGGGGATGTGGATAGTCAATAAATTCCGGCGCTCGACCTTCACCATTAGGACCAGATGATGGTACCGAGCTACCCGATGTCACCTCTTGGAACGGTCGCTGGCTAAGTGAAAGCTCCATATTAACATCAAAAGAGCGACTATCCTCGATCCTGGAGGGAAAAGTAAGAATGGATAGCGAGACGGGACGTTGTAGTTGTCGCTTGAGAATAGCTTGCTCCATCGCGTCAAGGTAGAAAAGCAACATGACTGAGACTCTCTAGGAGTCGATGATGGAATGGCCAAATGCCTCGTCACCTAATTAGTGACCAGGTGTAATGAAAAAGGACATTCCCGAGTACTTTGTGGAAAGGCGCATTGGTTCTGGAATTCTTTCATAAGTGCAGCATCCCGAAATGCATTACCATGTTTTGTTCTAGCTGCAGCCAAATTTCACCGCTGATGTAAAATAATGTTTACGCAGTTATTACCCATATATCATGCAATATTATTATAAACTATAAATCAATGAATTAACCTTTTTCTAATCATGCGTGCAAGCCAGTTTTTAGTTACAGCACCTTTTAAATGAAAATGATAGTTGCTTAGATATTACAAGTTGTGTCGCTAAAATATTAAAATTTTAAAACACTAAGTCAAGTTCTGAAGACTAAACTCAGGACGGAGTGTATATATTGAGGAGTTAAGGGCAAGGGAAATCATAAAGAATATTTATAAGATACAGATAAATACGGATAAACAAATATAATTTCTGATGTAATTTGTAATGACCTCTACAAATAACACTTTAAATGTAACTCTCCACAGAGCTTTCGTTACAGCTAAATTTTGAGTCTAAATTCTGTCCAAAATCCTCCAAAAACTTTCCAAATTACATTTAATATTACAATTCACTCTAAACAAATCAACTTAAATCTACTTTGAAAAAATATATTGGCTTTTAAAGGTCTTCGAAGTAGTTTATTTGTATGTTTTCATTTTCTTTGGGTTCCCGGCTAGGAAAAAAAATGGCGGCCGTCGGCGGCTTCCAATAGCGTATCTTCAAAGTCTAATTTCTACCGGAAAGCTACCACTCAGAATGTCCGGCAAGACATTTTTGGAAAGGTAAATAGATAATCTTTCATTTGGGATCAGTCTCGTTTATTCTCCTGAGATGAGTGTTAGAACCCCCTCAGGTGATGGACTATTACTATCGGTTAGCAAATTCAAACGTTTCCTCTTAAATTTCCTTATAAAACACTTGGTAAACGCTTCATCGTGTACTGCTGAGTTATGGATGCACTCAGGAGACTCAGGCCTGCTAAGCTCACATTAACAACTCGAGGAATTGAGAATAGTTTATTGACGTCATCAGCGTGCTCAATAGGAATATGAAGCACGCTCGCGCTATTGAATTTGATTAGGCGAATTTTCTAGCTATGTTATAAAGTTAATTAAGTCTTGATTCTGCCTCGCTGTGCAATCCGACAACCGTTTCCCGCGCGATACGAATTTCGACAAATTACAAACCTACAGCCTTCGCTTCGCTAAGAAAATTTTAGAAGTTGATATTCTTACTGTTGAGTATCCCACATGCATGCAGCCTCGACTATCACACAGCCGCATCAAGAAGACCATGGGAAATAGTTTGGGGTCAACAGAACTTGCTCATTTTGAGCCCACATTACCCGGAGTGAAAAACTTCCATGTAGCAAAACCATAGAAAATTTCACCAAGGGTCACCAGGAGCCAACAGGATTTTGGGAGACCGGAGATTTTTAAACAATTTTGGGAGAAATTCTGGAAAGATTTGTGGCCCATTTCCCGGGATTTTTTTTTAGCTAGGCCTAAATCGGGCTTGCGAGAACTCGCACCCCTCGCATTTGCGCGAGCGTCTTCCACGCAGGCTATGATAGGATGTTCGAAGCAGAGATTTACCTTAGTCTTAGAAAAAGAAAAAAAGGAAGAAAACAGGGCACATGAGAGGGGAAAGCTGCACGCCCCCCCCC